TATTCTAGGCAAGCAACACTCAAGAATCTGAAATAAAACTCAACCATTTAGGACTACTTACCTTATTTTGTACTCGACACATATTTAAACGTACTTAATTTTATTATTGTCTTTGTAACAGTGTAGAATTATAGCATCATATATTAGCTAATCATGCTGGAGTAATTAATGTTGATACCTACATACATATATTAAATTTATTCTAAATATACGCAAAAATATCGAACTACAATATTCCATAGATACAACGTGTTTTCAAAAATTTTTGTTGGTATTCACATTTAAGGAAATTACTGTTAAAGCTAATGAAAAGTGAAAAAGGGTTTGCTGTTCCTACTAAAACAGTGTTAAAATTAGTATTTGTATCACATCCCAAAAACTAACAAGAAAATAGCTTCTGTGACGCTTGTTAAATGGAACGAACAGTATCTTCTTCAACGACAGGACTTCCAAACTAATTTAATAACTTTAGAAGCAACAAGGTGTTTTGAAGCTGAGAACAATTTAATTAATTGTTTTATGGTTTAAGGTGAACTATTGTGTTTAATTTATACTGTTGTTACAATGTTTACCTGCAATAAAAACTTTCAGCCGTCATACAATAAATTAAATTGTATTTGAATAACTTCACACATTGTATAAGATATTTAAGGGCATTAAACTAAGAATTATTTGAACTGATGCTGTGCAGTTTCTGGTCTAAATGCCGTCGTGTGTTGGAATTATTTCCTAACGTTTCGCTGACACGAGTGGGTGAACTTCTGAGGACTCCACATTCAGCATCGGAGATGGAAGGACAGGACCTCTGAAGAAATTCGTCATTCGTGTTAGCGAAACGTTAGGAAATAACTCCAACACACAACGGCATTTAGACCCGAAACAGGACAGCATCAGTTCACCTATTGACAGCGAAAGCCTTTACCAATGTATGAGGATTATTTACTTTTAATAAATTAAGAAATGCATTTGAATTTTCTATTCATCAAAGGTGGTTTGCCAGTTCTCATCCTGAGCCAATTGGCGTATTTCCCGAAAAGTAAACCATTCCTTATCCTGAACTATCTTTAAGAGGTAATCTAATCAATAGGCCTTCCTCTTAACTCCAGTTTCTGCTTTAAATATGAATCTAACTAGTCATTCATGCCTCAGAAAGTGCACTTGTATCATATCTATTTTTTTCTTATACGACGTCGGTTAGTATCACGAATTTTTGAAAAATTTATTTATTCATGAATATCTATATTGTCCCCCTTCAAAGTAAATCTCACCAGATATTACACACTTGTGCCAAAGTTTTTTTTCAATCCTCGAAGCACAAAACATTATGGCGTCTTTATCTCCTCAACTGTAGCGTAGCGTCGTCCTTGCGAATGGTGTGTTGTGTTTGGCCAAAAATTCGCGCAAAAGCCATTGTTTGTTGGCGTTTCTAGCGGATTGCTTTGCGCAAATTGCGCATAACTTGCAGGTAATATTCCTTATTGATCGTTCTACCTTGTAGTAAAAACTCATGATGCACCACGTCCCTGCAATCGAAGAAAACATTAAGCAAAACCTTTACATTCGACCTAACTTGGCGTGCTTTTTTCGGTCTTTGCTCGTGGGATGATTGAGGGATGGTTTCCACATCATAACCATAAACCTATGATTCGTCACCAGTTATGACCCTCTGGAGAAAATTTGGGTCGCTGCGGACAGAGTCCAACAACTCCCTAGCAATATTAAGGCGATGCTGTTTTTGGTAGAAATTGAGCAATTTTGGTACGAATTTCGCGGCGACCCTTCTCATGCCAAAAACTTCTCTAACGGTGATTCAACGATTGGCCAATACTATTTTCTTCACTTCATCAATGTTTTCTTCTGTTGACGTGCTCAGGCATCCGGCACACTCTTCGACGTTCACATTTTCTCGGCCCTTTGTACCACCGATAAACGTTGCTTCGGTTTAAGGTAACTTCACCATATTCGACAGTCAACATTCGGAATGCGTCCGCGCACTTAATTTTGATTTTCACACAAAATTTGATACAGATTCTTTGATGAATTTTTTGGACTAGGCAAAAATTGAAGACGAGCCAAAACACGTGCAAGCAATGATGTAGGTTGGTCGAGTTTTCGAGATACGTAGTAGGGCTGCGTATCCAACCAGTCCTTGAGCTGAAATCCTTAAGATGATGATGATAAATAATTTTAATGAGAACTCAAAACCTAGTCAAGACTTGCTATTTTAAACTATTAATTTTTTTGCTGGTTTCGTGTATTTTCCTACAGCTATTACAAAACTGTATAATTCGACTGTTTTCTTTATTTTATGCCAATTAAATATCAAAAGCTAATTTAAATTAAGCTTTTCGAGGACTATCGGTTGGATGCATCTCTTTTGCTTTAATAGGCACGGCTTCGACGAGATCATTGAGTTCCGCTTTTCCAATTAGCATCGGAATCGGAGCACCTTTTCAAAATTCAATGTATATATACTTACTAATCAATTTCTTGTTCGATATTATGAATATGAATCTTTTCAGCTAATAGTTTGATGGCTTATAAACAATTCGTAGAAAACATTACTTAAAGCACCTTTTTGTAATAGTTAATAGCTACCAATTCAAACATTTAGGTTTACTTAAAAATATGCCAAGAAAAAATACGACATTTTAGGAAAAGTTATTAAAATCCTAATTACAGAATATTGCAGATTTGAACAAAGACGTAAATGTATATTTTCTTAATAAGTAGAACTAGTAAAATGGTTAATTTATTATATGGTACTCACTACAATTCTAATGTTAGACTGACTACACTGTAACTTAGAGCATAAATATCTGGGGACAGCGTCCTATATAAACTATAGTACCAGTAGCGTGTTTGAAATAAAAAGTGTGATAATACATCATTCCTTCTCTTCTAACGTGGCTTGATAAGCACTTCGTTACCCGACCGCTTCTTTGTGCACCTCTTCACCTAGACATAGTTACGCAAGCTACCGAAATTCACTACCACAAGTTTCTTTATTATGTTGTATTCTCATTATACAACAACGACCGTCAGTTTTTCGGCAATTTTTTAGATGAATAGCATCGCGATGCTTAAAAAATATTCGCTTACCAATTTAGCAGTTATTACTCTTTTACTGGAAGAAGAAAATGAGGAGATGGAAAAGAAAAGGCAAACACGAAAAGCGGGAAAATAAAATATTTTTCCATATTAGAATTAATTTTTCGTTCTTTTTGCTTAATAAAAGTACCTTTTTGCTGAGTATTAACGATTTGAATGTCTCGACTGGAATTTATAGGGTGTGCGAACCTCATGTGGCTAATGAGGGGCATGCCGATATAGGGACTCCCCCGCTTGCCTTATGAGTTTTTCATATGGGTCTTAAGGGGCACTTGTATAAACTTGGGGCTTGCAAGAGGTAGTGTGACTTCCAGTTAGGGACCCTACCAACACCCCCCTCAAAATTCTAATCGGGGTATTCTCATTATCCGCAACAACCGTCACCGGATGTTAGCGATATTGGTCACCGATAGACGCCGGCTGGAGGTGGGCTAACGGATAATTGCACGGATAGTGGGAATCCTCAATGCCTTTTAAACGGAATAATACTTTGACGGACGACTGCTGACATTCAACTTATGGATAGTGAGAATCAAGCTTTAATTCGTTAACAAAATATATTTTTTTTGTGCTTTCCGTTATAAAATATTATTTATACGTTTAAAAAGAAAAGCCCTGACTCACTAACTCACTGACTCATAAACGTACAGACTAACCTCTTGGACCTAGACAGCTAAAATTTTGTACACAGATTTCTTTTATGATGTATGTAAAAAGAATACCATAGATTTCGAAATTCAGCCCCTATAGGAATGAAGAAGGGTAGCAAAATTTTTATGGAACATTTTGTTTACGGTTAGATTCACATGAAAGTTGGTTTTATACACTTTGATATAATTAATCAGTCACCTATTTCGGCATTTTAAAAAATTCAACCTCTGAAAGGATGATAAGGATTATGCTCAGCGAAGCGGCTGTACTATACAAAGCTGTTTCCATTTCGTTCATTAGATTGCGGTACAAAAGAAATCCTTAATGATCAGATTTCAAATGTCTGCTGTGCATGTCATAGCTGTTTTTCTCAGGATTATATTCTGAAATTTCTCCCAAAAAATATGACCAGCCTGTTTTCATAAATAAATTCAAGCTAGACATTTTGATCTTTCCATTCATGCTTAGGAGATTGCTTTCGTTAACAGAGGTACAGTCCATTTCAATTTGTTAGAATTGTGACCTTGAAGAAATTTGCGCGAAGATAGAAGAATACACACTAGGCGTGAGCAAGACAGAAATAGTTGGAACAAGCTTGAACGAGCGTAGCTCTCGATGGGCGGTCTTAGAAGATCGGCTAGAACTGTACAGTACTAGACAAAAATGTTTAGCAATTTCTTAAAAGAAAAATGTATATAAATTAACAATAGAAAACAAAGCAAAAGTTTTATAGGTGTGTAGAGCNTGTTTGTTTGTTTGTATATTATTATTTCACGCCTTAACTCCTCAACCGATCATCATGAAATTTTGTACACACATTGTCAGGGGTACAGAAAAGGACACAGGGTACCTTTTATCCAGAAAAATACTGTTCCCGAGGAATAGAAAAATGAGGTTTATGTGGTCGTCGATGATCCTTAACATGTATTTAGGACATCAACGCGAGCGAAACTGCGGGTAAAACCTAGTTAGTGATAAAGAACAAAGTAGGTAAGGGATGTTTCGCTTATTGTGAAAGTATAGTACTTATAATAACAACTCTCTTTATTCAGGTTAATCGCTTATGTCCATACGTGCAATAATTTTTTATTCTACGTAAATAATGACCATATCAAATCGTAATATTTTAGAAAAATCATTTTGAAAGTATAACTCGTATTCAAATTTTTAACAAATGATAAAACTGTTTTATAATATTTTTCTGCAATTCATTTGTTACAAAATATTTTTTGTTTCAGGCTTATCCGAAACGAGATATTACAAACATAGTGGAGAGTAGTCATTACTTGAGAATTACCGGATGGTGCAGGTCGGGATCTTCGACAGGGGCGCAAGGAAGAGGAAAATGTAAAACCGCTCGATGGGTCAAACCTTTTAGATGTCTGGGTAAGTTATACTAACTGATACTATTATTTACCTATCATCTCATGGTTCTTATTTATATCTACATTTTTTTTTAATTCAAATTATAATCATAATAAAAAAATCTGCTGTTACATAATAAGTATCATGTTATGTTTTAGTCTGTTATATCTAGTGTATTTGTTTTATATTAATTCTAATTTAGCTTCTGTTTGTAATAATTACAAAAATTTTTGTTGGTGAAATAATGCACACTTCACACATTTTTATCCCCATATACCTTATATCCCATTATCATCATAAGCTGATCAATCCTAAGACCGGTTGGACACGTGCCACCACTCTTTCCTATCCTGAGCTAATCTTCGCATTTCCCTAAAATTAGAACAGCCCACATCCTTAACTATTTGCGTTAATTTACAGTAATCTAACCTAGGTCTACCTATACCTCTCCTAACTCCCGTTTCTGCCTCTAATATGTCTCTGACTAGACCTTCATACCTGAGAAGGTGTCCTACCAACCTATTTCGCCTATTTTTTATTGATTTCCATAGTCTTCTCTTCTCCTATTCTTTCTAATACCTCTTCATTTCTAACCCTCTCTATCCACGGTATCTTCATCATTCGCCTGTAACACCACATTTCGAACGTTTCTAACCTTTTCCGGTACGCCTACTGTCCATGTTTCGCTCCCATACAGCGCCGCGTTCCAAACATACACCTTTAACAACTTTTTTCGAATTTCCAAATTAACCGTTCGCGAGCATAGAAGTGACTTCTTTTTATTGAAGGCGACACGACCCTGCGCTATCCTTTGCTTTATACTACACCTTCCGTCCTGACTTATCTGACTTCCTAGATGCCTAAAATCAGCCACTTCTTCTAATTTACTTCTATCTTTATATTCACTCTTTCCTCACTTTTTCTTCCCTTGCATACCCCCATTACAAAGCTTTAATATCTCATAAAGAGAACCATATAAAATACAATCCTCATTGTCAGTCATTAAAATTAACGAGACTACGTATAACTGAAGTTGTATTTGAATAATGTTCAACCAAGCCAATTTATTTTAATTTCTTTCAGAAAATTATAAAAACAAATGCTTCACTTTCTAAGCATCCATTTTATGAATTCGTGCATTTTAACTGGGTGCTCAAAATAATTTTAATTTTTCTTTTTTTTACTTTATAGAACTTAAAAAGTTCTCGTCTTTTGTAATGCAAATCTCATTAAGGCCGTGTATATCACGAAAGTTTAATTTTCTTGAACTTTAGATTATATGTATCTATGGACGTGGTGTGTATAAAATGTGTTAGTAAACGTCTCTTTTCAATCGACTTCAGAAAAAGAAATTTCGTCGCCTATTGTGAACCGATTTTAATGATTCTGTTTCTATTGAATGCGCTGTCTCAAAGGTGGCCTCATTTAAATTTGAAGGAAATTTTCCACCTTCAGAGGTTATTATTCGATTATTATAGAAATTTCGTACATTAACTTATTGCTAGTTGAAAACAATTTTGTCCCAAGTCTTTAGCCTCTATATAGATTGTCTTTAAACCCAACACAACTTCTAAAATTTTAGTTTAAACAACTTTTTAATAATCATTTCACATCTTGCTGGCAGTTTGGTATATAGTCATTTTTCTCCGAAATTTAATTTTGGGTTTTACGTTGCAAATTGTTCTTCAGTTCTCAGAAATTAATATATTTGTAATGTCCAGTAAATGTGGGTGCATCCACTATATTTCAAACTAAAAAAATATAATTACGCAGCAGTCCATTAAGAAGGATGTTAAAATTCTAATTGTGTTCTCCAACCAAAAAATACAATTCATAAACTTTTAGAAACAACGGACAAAGTTTTAACTATGAACTAATTCTGAATATAATTATGCGATTCCCGAATAAAAGCACGTAAATATAGAAATAATAGGCTACTTTATTTAAAACAAAATTTAAATTTACTATAGTTTTGGTTTATGCAATACAAATTTAATATTTCCTCACCAGTTTTTAGAATCTTATTTTGTGTTAAATCTGTGGATATTTTTATATAATAAAACAAAAATACAAATTCCGAACATTTTGAAATGGTAATTTTTGTAGAACCTTAGTAAAACATGGCCGTCTTGTAAAAACTGCAAATTTTTGTACTTCTTTTATGGTCTCTTCAGGAGCAGTGACGGCTAGGGTTGCCACCCGTACT